GGATTTATTTGTATATTGCCCTGCTGCCCTGGGCAATATACAAATAAATCCCTTCCATTTATAATGAGCAATTAAAGTAAATCATACACGTCCTTTGACCCCGCCAAACATTCTGAGAAAATTTCTCCCTTTAACACAAATATAGAAATTTATTCTGCAACTATAGAAAATACAGTAGTATCCCATATATCATACAGGCTATGTGTTCACTCTAAGAAAATTTTAAGTCTGATATCTCGGTGGCCCGTACGCTCCATAATCAACTTATCTGAGATTCCTTTTTCCAGTACACCTGTTGCTGTTGTGGCCCTCAGACTGTGATTGCTGAATTGGCCCTGTAGGTCTGCGTCTTTACACATTTTGCTAACAACGTTTCCAAGCTTGTTATGTCCAACGGGAGTCGATGTAAACCAAACTGCAAAAATTAACAGTGAAAATAAAAATCTGAAACAAAACTGAAACTTCTAATTACCGTGTCCGGCTTGCGACCATTAAAACTGACTGACATTTCTATCCTCTTTCACCCGAATTGTAAATGATCTATATTTATAGGTATCATACCTTCATCCGTAGACTTGTATTTCTGTCGTGGAGTGAGGTAGAATACATTGTTTTCTAAAGTCTCCCACTTACTCTTCCAAATTCAACTAAGGGGAAAAAGGCTCCTGAGAGAAAGTATTTTGCGTTAGGAAAATTTCGTCGTCACTATCCATTGCCGTTCTCACAATTGTACTGGCCCCCCAAAAAATACCAAGACAAAAATAAAAAAACACAAAAGGTTTGAAATTTGATTGTTGTCGGCTTAGCAAACAAACAATGCGCTATTGTTCTCCGTTTCTCACCTAAGTGAGAACAAGCTTAAGTGGTTTGAACAAATTATGACCCGTGAAACGCCCTTTCTCGATGTTGTGTGAAAACCTTTACAATACTTACAATGAAATACGTCATTGTCTGCGGGCGGATTAAAAAATGACAAACAAACAGATGTCAAAAACAAGTGGCCAATTATTGCCCTGTGAAAGACGACCTTTATGTAACCTATACCTCGTGAATAATATCATGAAATAAGTTAGATAAACTCCTCTCCTACATAAAAGGAATGTGATTCGGTGAAACATTTACAGAGACAACAATTTTCATTCACGAAGACAAGTATTAAAGCGTCTCTAAAAGTCCTGAGTCTTTAAGCTTAAGCTTAAAGCTTTTAGCCGGCTTCCTGGATGAACTCGAGGCAAGAAAATCGCTCAAAGCTTTCTTTCCAGAACCAAAATTATAACTAAATACTCTTCGGAACGTTTTTTCTTTCTATTTGCGGAGAGGAAATATCGACTAAAGGCTTTTTAAAGCCCTGTAAGCTTATATCAAACCTCATACTAGATCAGATCATTGTCTCAGATCTTAATACAAACGTGCATAAACTAGCCTCATAAACTGCGCTCGACTTCATGAAATTAGATATAAAAAAACAAACACATACACTTTAGACAATAATTACACAGGCTTACCATTCAAGATGCAGCTCCTGAAAGCTATCAAGTAAGGCCAGTATCGCTTGAGGGACTTCAACCCGCATCCAGCAAGGTGGAAAACGGAAACGATGTCATCTGAAATCGGATTTCCAACTTTGACAAGCGGCGCATTTCTCAACCAAAAATTCAATAAACAAACCAGCCATGAATAACAGAAGGCTGTTGATAGCAGCTGTATTTCGTTTTATGCATCCAGTGGAAAAAAACAGTAAAAAACATCACAAGTTGACAAAAAAACTCTGTCAGCTTCAGCTGTCAAAGTAAACAAGTCTCAAAATGCTGTATAAATTTCTGCACGAACTCACTGTCAAATTTTGACCAATCAGGGCCCAGTTGTTCGAAGACCGATTAGCGCTTAACCCGGGGTTAAATTTAACCTGGGTTCCTCTTTCTTAGGAAAATGCGTTCTTAAAAAGCATTTTCTCGGATAATTTTCTCTGTTATATTTAGAGCTTAAAATCATCAACTTGTAGTAAAAAAAAACCGAATTTTTTTTTAAGCTTTCAAATCTGAATTCAAATCTCGCACTAACCCTGGGTTATCTTAACCCGGCTTTGAACAACTCGGCCCAGAGCATAAAAATTGGACGGTGGTAGAGCGTGATCAACGCGTGACTATTATGGTGAGAAAAGTGAAAAGCCTCTGTCTTCTCTGCTTGTATTTTTAAATGACTGGCTGAATTTTCGTGTCCGAGATCAGTTTGAAATCAAAATGTTAATAGCGCGGGGCCATAGTGACATTAACACAACACTTTCTGATATCATGTCATTATTTTGCTGCCGTTCTCTTTGCCTTTGTATTTCTCTTTCGCGTTGCCTTTGTCTATTCATTCTAGCTCTGTCTCGTTCTGCTTGCCGGCGTTTTTCACTATAATTTTCTCTCCTTCTTCTCGCCCTGACTCTTTCTACTTGCCGACTTTCTTCGCTAAAATTTTGTCTTCTTCTACTTCTAACACACTGTCTTTGGCAATCGTCTTCGCTTGCTATACGCGTGTTGACTCTTGCTCTCTGCCGTTCACCTTCTCTTTGCTCTCTGCTTAAAACCTGTCGTCTACACGCTAAAATCTCTCTGCTTTTGTTTGTTGACATAATAGCTTTCGTAAGTTGTAATGAAAAGTTATAAAGGCTCTGTCGAAAAATCTTTTCGCTAAGTGTCTTTGAAATTTCTTTTTTCAAAACCAGTTGCGCGATATAATTGGGCGACGTTGCGCCATGCGATTTCCCGTCAAAAGGTCTCTACTTTCCCCTACCCCAAGAGTCCATGCGGACTACTTTCCACTACCCGGAAAGTCCATACGGACGGACGTACGCAGACGTCATAAGCAAAGTTTCTCGGATGGATAGTTTATGAAATTATCTTAGTTGTGGTGCTCCGCTCGCGCGCGCTTCGCGCGCAAGGAGCTTCGTTATTAGGGGTTGCGTTCTCCTAACGTCGAACGCAAATACTAATGTAACGTGGAATCTTATATAATCTAGTATAAAACTTAGCAAAAAATCTACACAAGCCAAAAAATATATCCAGCCGAATCAGTCTGATCTGACTAGACAAATTCGTTGTGTGAGACAACAGTGTTCCATCATGCGTCCGGTTGCTATTCATGACGTCCCGGACGTCAGCTTAAATGCTCACTAATTTTTGGAAAGTAGCATCGTGAAGGCAAGTGGACACTAGAACTATGTACTTCAGCTTGACAATGTTAGGCGTAACCTACTTGACCAACTTTAGTTTTTTCGGCTGCTTATGTTAGAAATTTGCCACAGAGACTTTTTAAACAGAGAAATTTATAATTTAGCGATGGAATACCCCGAGGAGATTACTTCAAGCTCTTCAGATACTTAAAGCACGTATCAAGTTTTCGCGCTCCTCGCTCGTATTTTCAACCTTGATATGATAACACTGACGTATTTACAAAAACAGGCAGTGTTTTGCACAAAGAAAAGCAGACAGGTGACCGTCTTGCCTGCTGTCGCTAAAGTGTGTGAGATGCTAGTGCACATGCAAGCGACAGAATATTTTGAGGCTCTCTTTCACTATTTTGTCTCTGAGTATCCCAAAATTCACGGCTGTCCCTCGGCGGTGTTAATGCTTGCAGAACATAAGAAGGCGAACGTGATAAACGCATTGTAATAGCCTTGATAGCAATTGATCTATGTAAGGCTTTTGACTGCCTACTACATGGACTGATCCGAAAGAGAACCTTAAGTTCCTGGTATGATAGAAACGGCTGTTAGTCTAGAGTAAGGTATGAACTTGTGATGCTGGGCGACACCTTTTCGGTACGGGTCGGGTTTGGTTGCTGGCGTCCCACAGAGATCTTTCCTTGGACCCCCTAATTTTTTATGGATGATCTAAACTTTGCTATCGAGAAGTGCAAGCTTATGAATTATGCGGGACACAAAAAAATTCACACTTTTGACCCAATCCCCAGGTTGTCGAGAAAGATATAAATGGGGGCTTAGGCGGCGTGCAGGCGGCGGTGGGATGAACTTGTACATACTTTATTGTTACCTCCCCAAAGGGGGCTTTTCAGGAACAATGATTATATTACATTATTTATAATAACTAATTACAACACTTAACCTACTACTTATTACAATGTTTTTAAACTTAACTAAGAAGTATTTACAAAATTATCTAAAAGCTGGCTTCTTAAGGAACGTTTAAAAATTTTTACAGATGGGCTTAATTTAAGAAAGATTCTAAATTGTTGCAAAGCTTAACAATCCAGTAATAAAAGGTTCTCTGTCCGGAGGCGGTTCTGAAAAGAGGAATGTTTAGCTTTTGGCTACATCGAGTTGTTCGTTCGCTAACCTGCTCACGGGTAATAAATTGGGATGTAAGGGGCGTGACTGAGAAACGCTAATCATTGTGTTACTATCAAATGTGCGGATCAACTGATCCCCATTTCTAAATATTATATCAGGTTATTAGGTGTCAAACAAGATAACAGGCTCACATTACCCGATTTTTGTCGTAAAGTAGTTGGACAGGCTTTCAACAGGTAAAAAATATTATTATTATTAAAACTAAAGAAGCACGTATGGCGCCTATATTTTGCCTACCGTAGTTTATTCCAGCTATGTCTTGCACCATTGTGGGATTGAAACACTAGCAAGCTGGAGAAAGAACGAGTGCGCCCTTAGACTCACTTACAGGGCGGACTATTCCACGCCCTATCGCACTTTGTTAAAGGAGATAGGCTTGAACAGCGCCTTAGAAACACGTGGAATACAAGACATGTTATTGACTATAAACAGCTGTTTTCAAGGAAGAGCGCCAGGGAGCATTAATATTCTTCTTGATGTCAAAACAAGCAATTAAAATTAAAATGTACCAGGAGTAAATTAATGCATTGTCTTTGCCCAGGGGGAATAGCACCAAAAATGGTCTAAATTCTCTTTGCTATATTTATGCGGCAAAATCTGGAACACTCATCAGCGGAGAGCCAAGGCAAAAGTAAGTCGGACAGAGAGAAAAGGCGCGACGAATGTTTTCAAGCACGGGCGGAAGAGCCCCTGGGTACTGACTCTTATCAGACCACTTCCAACAGGTCAAGCGAATGCTGGCTCTTGATTTGGCACAAAAAAATGCTTTGTATTATAGTGCCCAATCGGCGAACAGCATCTCTTGAGTTCTTTTCGTGAGCTCGTACACGACAACTATTGTCTCGATCAAGGCTTGTCTGACTCAAAATTGCACTAAAGAAATGCACACAGTCGGGAAACTTTCAGTTTGATGTAAGCTCCCCATTTCAAAATACTATCTACCCGTAAACTAAAACATGAAACCGCATGCAAGGATGTTTTAATGACGCTTTTCCAAGAGTACAAGCTTGAGCTTACGACAGGTATTCGAGCATGCATCGATCACGCCTACGTGAATATCAGGGAGTTTAAGATACCACGACTGCTGATGGCCACGAAAACGTCGCTTGGTAAGTAAATTCGCATTTTTTCAATCTGGTGATTATTCCAACTCCTTTACTTTGTCAAATGCAAGCGAACTCTTCTGGAGCAGAATTCCTTTCAACCATATCCAAGTTCAGAAAGAGAAAGAAAATTTTGTCATGATTGCTTGTTTACGTACTCCAAAAAAACGTGAAAAGAAGCATTTTCACGTGGTAGACGTGCAGTGAAAACAAAGAGATGTACAAAAAACGTAATGTACGTGTAAAGTTGTTGTTTGGCCTTGTTAAGCTATTGCTTTTTGACGTACTCGTTGTCGTCGCCGTCCTGGCATCTTAAACTCCCTATTATTCACGATACCTTGTGATCGGTCAGAAACAGAATTATTTCTGGAGAAACTGAAATGTTCTTGCTGATAGCATCGGAAACGTTTTTCTGACTCATAGGTAATTCCTTCGTTTCTGGTTAGGAAAGTAGAAAATGAAAATTTCCCTTGAACGTACAAC